GGGACACACATCAGAACGGCGGTTTTAGGAGTATTTGTGCCCCTTCTCTGTGTTATGATTGTAGCTCCCGTGTTATCATTCTTTTTCAAATAATATTTCCAAATATGAAAACCAGTGCATAAAACTAAATTTCAAGAGTTAATGGAGTCATTCTTCCTTTCTTTCTTTCTTTTTTTTTTTTTTTAGGGCTTCCTTGTGCGCCACCAGAATATGTGGTGGAATATAGTATTCCACTTCGCAAATCAGACACTTACCAGTATGGAGAAGAAATAGTGTACGAATGTGTCGAAGGTTTTGGGACTAATGGATCTGCATCTATAAAATGTTTAGGAGGAAAATGGTCCCATCCTCCAAAATGCATAAGTATAGTGCATTTAATTTTACTCTAAGGTTGATCAATAGTCTTAATTCAGAACATAAATGGTACAAATATGAAACCAGGCAGTAATTTGAGAATTTAACAAGGTATCTCTGAGAAGTTGAGGAGTCTGGTAGAGAACTAATAACCCTAGTAATAATAAAAGTGTGACAGCATAAGCCCAAATTATTTCACTTTTACGTTGCTTTGTGTGCACATTCAGCATCCTCTGATAAACTTCCTCAGACTCCTCATCTCCGTCCCTGGACCACAGCTGGTCCCTGTTCAGTGATCTCATCATTATTCAATTTACTGTTAGTTTATCAGTTATCTCTTTATAAGTATATAATTTTCTAAGATATTTGACATAATTAAAAGTAACAGATTTTGAAGAAGCAAAAAATGCAAATACATAATATTTGCAAAAAATGCAAATACATAATGTAGGTGGCCTGTATGGGCAAAAAAAGAATTTGAATGGAAGAAGTGTGATATCAAGCATTATATGTGTCCCTATCTTTTCACGCTTCCAACATCATCATCCCCATGTTTTACTTTTGATAAACATAGGACTAGTCAATATAATTAAATCAAAAGATTTCTAACACATTTTTTCAACTTATAACAGTGCTTATTGGTTTGATGTGCACCTATTACTCTACATTATAGTTATTGGTCATTACGTATTTTAAAAGATTTACTGAACAAGTACATATTCTTTTCTTTCAGGAACAGACTGTTTTGGCTTACCCGACTTTGGTAATGCCATACCCATAGGCCTAATGAAGGAATCATATAGGTCAGAAGAAAAAGTGACTTATCGATGTCCAAAATATTACCGGTTGGATGGACCCAATTTTGTACAGTGTATTAAGAGCCAATGGATAGGAAAGCCAACATGCAAAGGTACTTCAATAAAATTTTAGAATCTATTTATCAAAATGTCTTAAGTAATAC